TGGCGGCGTCCATGTAGGCTACGTTATTCGACTGTTATGTTTGGATGGGTTGAATTCTTTTCTATATAAACAGGAACATTCATTTCTGTGTAAAACAATTAATGTTAATTTTGCAAAACTTCCCATTGTCTATGGCTTTGGAAGCCATTTCTCTACGTTTTGCAGTTGTTCAAAAATCAAAATTTCACGAGTTTTTCCGTGTGTTCCTGTAAAACCCTGGCGGGGAGGTGGTGTGTGATCCTGTTCCGAGAACAGTATTTTTGAGTCGTGTTCAAGAGAACAAGAACCCCGGTCAAGAACAGGCCGCCCGAACTCGACCTTCGAACGTCCGTTCTGGACCCTCAGACCCGAGATTTGCTGGACCACTGATGTAGTGTAGCTCCCTCCTTTGACTGAAAAGTCTGCCTTCTCTCCGAGTGAGTCTCAGGCTGGGCTCGCGGCTGTCGAAGGGCGTGTGGAGCGGTAGTTTTGTGTAGCGACTGCTGTACAGGGTCAGTTATCGAGAGCCCTATACGTCGATTACTTTATAAGAATTGAGTTAACACCTGCTCTCTTATATTAACGAACCTCTAGATTGCAGCATGGAGGAATCCTTCCTCCATGAGTGCAGCAAGAATCATTCCCTGAACAAATGTTAGGCGCAATCGGTTGATCTGCCCGTGGTTCGATTTTGCTGTACAGTTGTAATATCTATCAATAATTATGACCACCATCACACGATTGCATTTTCATAAATGTAAAAAATAACATTACATGAAAAGTCATACATCAACACTAGGCTGACCAAGAACCTGTTAACTTGCGTCCAAATTAATCCTCGAAGCATGCAACACCAACCTTGTGATTTCTAGCCACCATCTATAAGAACACTAGACTTGATGACAAGTCGTTTGATAGTCCTGTTTTGCTGTTTTCCTGTTTTTCTGTTGAAGTCCACTGGTGCTGTTTCATTGTTTAGAAAATGACATAATTGGCTGAGTTTCGACAGATTGGTCGATCATCCGACTTATCAGTGGATCAAGTTGGGGACGAGGCAACCAATGGGGACGAGGCAGCTTTACAAACCAAACAGAATCAATTACCAACTTACAAACAAGTCTATGAGGACACCGCATGGTTAAGGAGGTAAATCTCTCTGTCGGCTGAGCATGCTAAGTTGATAACATAAATGAGCCCCGAGCTCGACCAGTAGAGGGCACAATTTTCCCAGCAACGGAGGCTCCGTTAGGGGGAAGTTCACTGCGCTGCAGCGCGCTGGTTCACAAACGACCGTGAAATGCACGCGTTGCGGATGCATCGCTACCAGCAGAATAAACACTCCCGACCGCCATTACTCTTTTCAACCGATGAGGGGGTGCTTCTGCTCAAGGCGCGAAGAGCGCAGGGAGACAACCGAAGTTTCACTTCAAATCGCAAGCGTAGATAAAGAAATGATAAGAATTGGACCCTGTTGGGTATATCAGGAGACTGAGGGCTGGAAGAGCCAGACTAGCTGCATCCATAATGCGAGGATGAGGATCATGAGACGTACATGTACAAGAAGAAGTGCAAGAAATGCAATGAAATGAAAACAAGTGACATGCAAATGGGATGGTGCTGGCACATGACTTATACTGAGAGATGCGTACGGGTGAACGAACGTTTGCCATGACCATTGAGCTGTTATAGCGCCGGTAGCTGCTACCGTCTTACCATTTAGCGAATCTTCAACACAACTTATAACGTGTGTAAGGATAATTGCAGAAAGAGCTCGTGTCTTAGTTCATAACTACATGTATTTAAAGCCTCGAATATCAAACAAACTTCCCTTCTCATAGGAGTTTTTCGAAACCAAACCTAATACACATCCTTACAAAGTAAAATGGATTCTTACTCATCATTGGTGTAGATATTTGTGTGGGAAAATTCGACCCAATTTTTTTAATAATACGGCCGTTTCACAATAGTGCGCCACCAAGAGTTTGCAACACGTTGGCCAAGCATAACGCGCCGAATTTGTCGACCCTTTCCAAACGGCCGTATTCCACTTCAGTGCCCGGATCAGAACTCAAACCAGTTTTATATTTCATTGAGAACTTCTGTTTATCCTCTTTTCTTCTTATTTTGCGGTTTCTTTAGTCTTCTGAATTTCAGTACCCTGCTTGTGCATATTTTTTGACGAATGTTTTGTTTAAGGTCCAACGACAATAAAGGATATATATAAAAGAGGCAATTCCATATATAAGACTTAATATATCAAAGCCGTTGTTTATTCTGAGACTTACCTTAAAACTTATTTCTCAAGATATGAAAGTACTGTATTTATATTTGTTATCTCAAGTTAATAGCAAACTTGTTAAGATGTTCAGAAAAAAACTTGCAAGTTCGTGAAAGGGCATTTCTAATCATCTTCTAAATATCATGTGCTTCACATTCTAAACCAGTGTGCAATATGCTCCCAGGCGATCAGGATGCGATGATGATTATTGGAAAAGAACGGGCAAAACAACATTGACAAACTGTTCATATGTCGTACATAAATGACCAGATTATGAGAGACACGTCCGAGAGCAGGAAGGTTTCCGGAAATATTTCCTTCTTGACTCCGGATCCCGAGATTAAAGGGATCATGCAGATTTCTACACGTCAGTTTGCCTCTGCACGTTAATCGCTAAAACCGAATCAAGTCCGAGGGCTGCATTTCATCCACAACCCCCCCCCCAAAAAGAGTATTCCATCCTCTGTGGTGAGACAGTACACTGTACTGCAGCTTCTTTTTCAACAGTTCCCACGAGTCGAGAGCAGCTTTTAATACCAAGTGGTGATGGCCTGCATACCACGAAATAGGTTGACCGTTATTAGTCCTTGATTCGTGTGCTAAGTAGGGCTCAGGTGATCATAGTATCCATTAGTCAACACGAGAAAGCTCTCGCGTATCTGTAGTCAGTAGTTAGCCGGCGTTCTTTAATTTATCTGCGTAAAAAATCAGACTTTTACGTTCTATTTTAAAGAAGATGATGTGTGGGGGATGTTCCGAATTATGGAGCGCACAGTCATATCAGGTTTTTGGGGAAATGGTTTTGAGAATTCCAGCGTGGATGTGTTGCTATGGTCGTTACTTTTTTTCAAATTCCATACAGATGTTCATAAAACACTGTACACAACAGGAAACTTATTTCGATAACATTAATCGTGTTGCACTGTACAGCAAGGATACAATAACAACAGACTCAAGTGACTTCACTTGTAATTGATGTGGTTGACTTGTTATAAAAGGGGGGTCTTCGGACTGACTCGAGGGGCAGAGCTGCATCGGGGCGGTCTTGGCTTAACAGTTAGTTTTTTATATCGCTTATCTGCAGAAATGGAGGAACTGTGTCCAGTCAGTAAGGCAATGCTATTAGGCCATAAATGTATACCAGCTGGGAGATCCGTGTTATCTTTTCATCGGTCGTCGATATAACCTCGAGACGGAGATCGCGACCTTGCGCGTGATCCACTGATCCCAGTTGGGGAGTACTAGAAAACCTACTGTTCGTTGTCATCCCAATGTTTAAACATCACAAGAGGCCCTTAGAAGATGCCTGTTTCTAGCCTAAGGAAAAGTGAGGAATTTTCTGGGAGGGGATGCCGAGCAAAACACAACACAACAAAAGAAAACAAACAAACAAACGAAAGGAAAGGAAAACAAAATAAAAATCAGAAAAAAGCTGAATCTTAAATAATGTCTCTCATCATGTACCTTAAAGACATTTTGGCAGGGGGAGGGGTTAAGCCTACCCTACCCCTTCCAAGTCTAAATCTAGTCCTTTGGGCAGTGGCGTAACTATATAGCCTTTATAGGGCTGATAAGTGTCTGGGGGGCACTTGGGGAACACACCTTTTTTCAAAGGGGCACCTCAAGAAAATAAGCTGCATCTATAGCTATATAGCTCAATGGAGATTATTCACAGATTTCAAATGGGGGGGGGCACACGGGGTCACGGGCATCTGCTGGGGGGCATTTTCCCCCGGACGTGCCTCCCCCAGTCAGGTTACGCAACTGCTTGTGGTACTACCAGTTCACTTTTTTGTCTTAAATTTACTTTGGATTGCGTGATAGGTATAAGCATATCACAATAGTTCAAGAAAATCATTGTTTTGAAATCGTTCATACCGTAAAACGCAAGTGAAACATATGTACAAGTATTTTTTTTCACTTCCTTATAACTCCCTTCAGAATGACAGTTCAAAAATTCGAACTGCACTCGTCCAGTGCACTGACTGTGGAAACTTTGAATTTGTTTAATATTATGGTCTTTCAAATGTTCAAATGAACTGAAATTTTGAAATGTAAAATCCCCAAAATGCCACCAACTGCTTGCTGATCACAGTGACCATGGAGGTCCATGTAGTGACCTGCCAGTGAAGAATAGGACTAAACTATACAAACCGAAAAGTCAGAGGACCTGGCGTCTCGGACCTAGCAGAAAGTTTCTCAAAGGCATCGTTTTTCCTTGGAGAAACACTCTGCCGGGTTCGAAACGTCAGGCCTTCCAACTTTTCGGAACCGAAATGCAACACGATATGCATATAGTATACACGGACTCGAAATGGGAGCAAAGAGACACAGTCGGTCTATTCAGTATTGGAAAGCAGGACAGAAATAAAATTACAATTAGAATGAATTAAATCCGGCATTATATTAAATCTGTCAGCAGGTGAACACACACCATCTAGATGCATGATACAGTTATATCTTTAAATTTATAAGTCTGAACGTTTCGAGGGATTCACTTTATTGTGTACAGAAACCAACTATCAATCATGTTATACAACACAGCCGTCCGCACACTGCATTGTTTTACGGTACATTGCGTACTGGACGTGTGGGTGCATGTACTTGATGAGTAGGGCAAATGTGTGACCCTGTGATCGCGCTACCATCAAGCTAGTTTCCCCACGGGAGGTCTATACCTTCCAACGTACAGATACGAGAAAATGTCAGCACGTTCACTGCGGCGGCCTCACCACTGCGTGAGCTTGCCGCATGGCACAGGTCTGTGAACGCAGTATAGTAGACAATTTGGGGACCAGAGCTGAAAACAAAACAAGCCAGTTTTCAAACGAAACACGTTTGTCCACAGTGCGCGGCGTAAGTCAGAATTGTCATTGGGATTACTTTCGATGGAGGCGTTCGCAGAAGGCTAACTTGGAAAGACTTTGTTGAAGTTATGTGTCTTTGAGGGTGCTGTATTTTCCCCTGACAAACCACCAGACGGTTAGCAGAACCACGGCGAGCCTGTGGCACTACGAGGCGAGAGTAGAGAGTAGTGCCATACATACACATACATGTACATGTACGTGAACTCTTAGATGGTTATCTACGCGTCTGGTGTATTTCTGTTCCCAATCTGGAAACAAGAATGCACTAGTTTAGTTAATAAACAACGGCCAATTACTGACGAGAACGAAACTATTGCAGACCAATCAGAGAGGGCTAGATCTGCGCTGTTTCCAGTAAGGCATCAGGCTCGGTCACTAGCTTTTAAGCCAGTGACGTACACCATCTGGTGTAAAAGTTGACCCTTGACTGCCTTCGTCTTGTCTTGCAACTCGACGCGATCTGCTCATACTTACCCACTATAGGCACCGCTCGCTCCCCGTGTGTACGTACGTGTGTATGCAGGGTTTCCTGGTGTGTGTGTGTGACCGATGAATACCGACTCGCAAGCCGAGACGATAGAGTTGGAATTGGAGCCGGCCATGAACACGCTGGAGTCAGATATCACCATCAGCAACGACACAAGTGGTGCTGAATCCACAGGCATGATTCAGGACTTGTTGAACAAGAGACCCAACATCGATGTCAATCCCTGCACCGACACCACCGCCGCTACCATGACGATCGCGGACGTCGGCGACAAGAGGGCGGTCAATGCCTTGTCCTTCTCCTCGCAGCAGATCATCTGCGTGTGCGAGGCGCTACTCCAAGAGGGCAACATGGAGCGACTAGCCGGATTTCTCTGGACCCTGCCGTCGGACGAGTCCCTCCAGACCAACGAGACGGTCCTGCGAGCCCGGGCTGCTGTCTGCTACTACCGGGGCAATTACAAAGAGATGTACTCCATTCTTCAGTCGTACAACTTCAGCAGCTCTTTCCACACGGAGCTGCAGGACCTGTGGTACAGAGGCCACTACGGAGAGGCCGAGAAGTCCCGGGGACGCGGCCTGGGCGCCGTGGACAAGTACCGCATTCGACGGAAGCACCCGCTCCCTCGAACCATTTGGGACGGTGAGGAGACCATCTACTGCTTCAAGGAGAAGTCTCGCAAGATGCTGAAGGAGTGCTACCAGGTGAACAAGTACCCGACCCCGGAGGAGAAGAGAAATCTGGCCAAGGTGACGGGACTAACCCTGACGCAGGTCAGCAACTGGTTCAAGAACAGACGGCAGAGGGACAGGGCACCTGCTGGTTTGTCGAAGGGGTAGGACTTGCATTATTTTTTCCATCCTCTTCTTGTCGTTTTTCTCGTGCATTTATTTTACAGCAAACAGGCTAAATAGGTACCCCCCCAGAACTGTGGAGGTCGTCGTCCGTCGTGCGAGCACGACGGACGGCAGACGACAAACTCACAGTTCTAGGGGTAATAGGACCCCAAGGAAAGAATAAAATATGAACGAAGCGAGCGAAATAAGGGTTCCATGCTGTACTCGAAACATACTTGTGAGACTACAACGTAGGCCTATTCATGATGAGTGCACTTTAATGTTTAAACAATTTTGTTTTGTTTTGTTTTAATTGTTGCTTTTGTCTCCCCCCCCCCGATTCGTGTTTGCTGGTGTTCCTCATGATATTTAATCTCGTCTGCCTCTGTATTTTTGGTAAAGTTTACATTTCCTTTAGATATTTTGAACAATTTTTAACAAAAAGTTGATAAAATGTATTCCACGGTCATGTTTGTGATAATGTACCCCCAGAACTGTGGGGTCCGTCGTCCAGAGCTCGGTGGATGACGGACCTAGGCTATGGTTCTGGTGGTATGTTCAGTAATCATATCCAATCGGAAATTGCTTATTTAGTTGAAATTTTCAACTAATTTAAGGGGAAAAGTGACCAAAGATTCGTTCAATGTTTTTATACATGGGAAAGCCGGAGGTTTTTTGCTTCAGGAAAAAAAATGTGTTAAATTGAATTAAAACAAGTAAGGCCTATTTATCTTGTTTTCTCGGCCGACATAACCGTGAAAGGACCGGATAGTATTCGCAGATAACTTGACCACCCACTGAGCCGTTTCTCTTTAATGTCGTACTGTCTCGAGAGTCTGTGTAAGGTTTTTCACGCAGCGATCTTCCTGAGGCTAACATGGAATGGATTCGCCAGATCACAGAAATTGGCACTGTAGTCAAATTCTGATCCAATTAGAACGTATGTGTACCACCAACACCGCAATCGCAGCATTGTTTATTGGTGTGTGCGTTTTTGTCATCAGTTGAGTGGAAACACACGTGTTAGACAACTAACACCTCTTGTCCGATGTTGACTGATGCCTCGATCTCATTGTCCAGCCCGTCTGTATTTAGGACCTCTATTCTCTTGAGGGTGTACTTTTGTTCGGATTTGATTTTTCGTTTTGTTCTCTTTTTCTGTGGAAGAGATGCATTTTCGCAGTTCATAGTAGCCTAGATTCTACTGAAGCCTTTTCACAGCACTGTTGGACCAGTGCTATAGCCGCGTGAAGCTTTGAAATAAATAACGGATGGGGCCAACTTGGGCGAGAACAAATCATTCAAACCTAGTGAGAAATCTATTTGTAACTTCATTTGAAATGCGTTTGACTGTTGCCTGTTGTTTTAGTTGTTTTAGATGAGATAAACGAAAGGCCTTTTTTTTGCATTGTTTAGTGGCTCTCTGCATGTAGACCACAAAACGGAAAGATCATTGCTATTCACTGAAAACCAACAGGCCTAAATCGGACAGTTTCAGAGAAAACGGGAAAACGGTCACCATACCTGGAATTTGCAATTACGTGGGCCTTATTTGTACATTTTAAACTCTTTACCATCACAGCAGTATTTTTCTTTGTTCATCAAGGAAGCTTCATACAGCCATTGTATGTAATTTATTTGTACACTGCATGACTGACTAGCGGTTTACATAAGTATTCTCCTGTTCTTCGGCAACAAATCGATCCTAATCTGTAAATCATTTAACACGATCTGTGTCATGGTCAAGTCAATCTTCCCATCAGAGTGAATGATTCCACCCCTGGATAGAGAAATGGTATTATTGAAAAAACAACATACAATAACTAGGACCTTTGCTAAATGGTCCATTATTTATACTCAAAACTTCCGAAATATCAACGCATAATGAGTTGTCTGTGGTCCTATTCTGCAACTTTCAATATTATTTCTTTTAAGAAATAATAAATTCGCACAAGAATTTATAAATGAATTTTTAAAGGAATTCATTCTGGTTCTTGTGAGAGTTGCCTACTTAGTGCACGCATTTAATCGTTTTATTCATTTTAATTTTCTTTACTGCATTCAATCTGTGGAAAGTTCTAATGATTGGTTTTCTTTGACATCCTTTATGCTGGTGACCGCTGCGTTTTGTACTCACCCGTGTAAATTCAGACATCCATAAATTCATCACACTGTCAGAAAAATTTAAAACCAAAAAGGTTCTACTGAAAAGGTATGCTCGTCACGTTATCTGCAATTATAGGGAAGTACGACAACATGTTTGTCACTCAGATTGTAAGAGATTCTCAGCTATTTTATTATGGCTCAATAAACAAGGCTGGCTCTTGTGGCGTATAAATAATCGTCAAAATAACTATATGTTGTACTTCATGGGAGCTGTAAACGTTTGTGTGGCTCTTCAAGTCTGGATACATTTGTAGCTGTTTGCATTCTAACTAACAAGGATTCTTTCAAACAAAAATGTATGGTTCATTTTTAATTTTACTGAAGCTCTCTCCGTTTTCGTGTCCAAAATATTTCAGTGACATTCCATAAATCATTTATTACTTCATTGCTTTTTAATAGCCTTGAATGTTGTCATGTTCCAACTTCGTAATTCGCAGAACTGTCCGTCCTAATTTCTTACATTCGCTTTTGAACCGTTAAGTCGTGTTGTCGCTGTTTTTAATCATGAGCGATATCCATTGTCTCTGACAGACGGGCCGTAGTTCGTAAACTATTATGTTGAACACCTGCATAATTTGCGTGCAGCAAGGTCGGCCGCAACCCGTGTGCTGCGTGTACGTATATGCGGGGGCGTCGTTTGATTTGACGTTGTTTGGAATCTCATTTGAGAGGTTGGCAACTGGTGACCTCTCTGACCTTTGACCCGATCCCGGAGGTGCAGGGCGTTTGCTAACCTCACCGTGGCCCTTTCGGCAGGAGTTGAGGATGCCAGAGAGAGAGACAGCCGACTCGAGGAAGCGAGGAATTTCTGTCGGTGACCTGTGCTGTGAACACCGGTCTTCGTGCGGCTTCCTTTTATGTTTGCTGTGAAAGAAAATACAGTTATGAAAACATAAATAATAAATGAAAACTATACGATTGTGATAGATTCCCATATTCCGCAATTTTATGGGGAATTGATTATGACAAATCAGTCCTTTTTTCGTGGGGGAAACAACCTGCTTTTGCTTGGAAAAACATGTTATTCAAAATTTTCAACAAGTCTATTTCAGATACAATAGAAATACAATAGTTTTGATTGTTTTGAGGAATGATGTTTAGTAAAATCATTGCTGTGGCCGCTACAGTCCTTCGAGAGACGATTTTTGATTCAACTCATTTTAAATGTTGTTTTCTGTTCTATCACGCATTAAGAAAATGTAAGTTGAGTCACTGTCAAGAAACAGTGTTAATGCAATACGGAGGTCCAATTTTTCGAGTTTGACACATGCCGACCATGCTGTATTTTACAGTTCGGTCCAAACGATGTGATAAGTTCATGCCATCTCTGGCTGACCTCGTGATGGCCACAAAACTTTCGAGGCAGTTAATCATTCTGTGTTAAGTTTATTAAATTGCCGAGACAAAAAAAGAGAAATACCATCGCCGAGAAGTTTACTTTCTTGCCAAGCAGGTTCACAAAATGTATGAAGCAAGTGGATGGAACTCGTCGTCTTGATGTCATTGTACGCCACAATGACAAGCTACTTCTCTTGTCCGCCCATGTGTTTTGTAATGACCAGTGGAGAGAAAGGCCTGTTATTATTTTAGACAAAACTTTTCAGTTTGTTGGAAGTTCATGATGTACATTGCTACGCTGCTTCAAACCAAGAAGCGCACACAGGGCGTGTGCCCGAATTAAATCGCATCCGGGGAATTCAAGGCATGGGGCCGAGGATACCACCTGACCACCACACCATAAAACGCGTTGTGGATGGAGGGGATGGGATATTTTTTGCCAGAGCTAGGGGTTAAAGTTCAAGGATTTCTTCGTTTTTAAGACCGGTACTTCTTGCATTATGGCATTATGGCATGGTTACCTTTAGAGTGTTGTCCACAATCCGTCGGTGGTTTCGGTCTGCAACCAATCATAAAACTTATTATTTTAACATTTCCATGTCAGGGACTTTGTAGACTTTTAAGGCAAACTTGTCTTTGCTTGAAATACCGTCGGTATAGCCTCTTCCTGCCTTGTCTTCTTGTGAACGGAATTTTCATCTGTATCTGTTGTCCTTAGATCCGCTTGTCTCATCATTTGGTTTCCTTCCTCCATCGTAGTAGGTAGAGCCTGCAGGTTACAGGTGAATGACAAGGCGCCAAATTGCCTGCGTAGACCAAAGCACGATTTTAAGGCTGCCAAATTCTAATTTCTCTGCCATTGGAGCATTTTGTGGCACGTGGACTGGAAAGTTTGTCAAAAAAGGGAAAGGGATGAAAGTCACCAGAAGGACTGTCAGCTTGTATTTGTGAAAAGATCGGTCAAAACGTGGCCCTCGAAATTGCTTTTTTTTTGGAATGGAATGTAGACATCAATTTTCAAATGGCGTTGGACTTCACAACTGTTTTAGGGTTGATCGTCTATGGAGAGAAATATATCTTTCAAATGCAAACAAAAATTAAAGATGAGTAAATGGGCTTTAATTTGATGTGTATCTTGAAAACCTCACAAACTTAATAGTATTTTCTCACGGCTGATCGTGCGCGACGTCCAAGTGATGTGGAGTGCAATCATTCTGGTGCGTGACGGAGAGCGTTGTCCAAGATGATGAAACAGGTGCAAGTCCACAGCCCCTCCCCCCACACACACTCACAGTGGAAAAGTAATGCCACCCCAACTTTATTATTCATTTCTTTTCACCCGTTTTTGGCAAGAAATTTGTAATTGGCGATGTTATAGTTATTTGTAAGTCTTTCTTGTAAACGTTCAAGTTGTGCATTGTACTAACTTGAACGTTTATACATATATAGCCAACAGTAATGTCAATCTGTAGCTAAAGAAACGTCCGGTTGTAGTTGGGTTGGCAAAAATATAACAGCAGGTACTCTCATAGAGGGGCTTGTGGGGTACCGGAACAATGGGAAGAACCCCATAGGGTACTTGTGGGGTACTGAGATGTTACCCTACAAGGATTTCACGAAATAGATGTTTCAAATTTACTCAACAAGGAGGAATTTCAAGTGCCATTTTTCCGTCGCAAAATGAAGTATTTCAAATAAGGGACGTTAAGTCGAATTTCCAAAGTAGAAAAGTTAATCTGGTTCAAATGGGAGTGATTTGAAAATTTTTGCGTGTTGTGTGGGAGTTTTGTACACGAGAACAAAGGAAATACCCCACAAGTATAGCTGTGTAAGGTTCTATGTGTATACTTGTTCTAAATGGTCTTTCTTGTTGTCCAAAGCTGAAATAAAATCGTTTACACGTGCTAAAAATGCTTTCAAAATACTAACGATGCACCTAAACAGGGGACTTGTTTTTTCAACGCGCGTCGCGTCGTTTATCATGAGTGCACCTTTTTGTGAAGTTCGATAAAAACGAAGGCGAGAACGTTCATAGCTTGAATAGCCAGGGCTTTCGATAAAAATCCCCACGATTTTTTACCAGGAAAGTTGGCTGGCACGCTAGTGTGGAATTCCCTTTTAAGTTGGACAAGAAGAGAAAAAAAGAAGTGTTATGACTCCCATGCAGGAAGTTGAGTTACTTGAAGGATAATAAACAGCGGTGGTCTTGGAAATCGAAACATAAATAATAATTCACTGAGTCATGTTGAATGTTTGGCGTTGGGAACCGACATGTCGGCACTTAAATCGAGATAACTGAAGCGGAATATCGAGCTTTGTTTTACCGGAGGGGTGAAAGTTCTATTGTGGCATGTTGAAAGCACAAGTATAGATTTCAGCCCAGTTTCTTGTAGGATTATTTTTACAAGCTGAAGAATTTTAGTGAATGTTATGTTTCAAATTAGCTATAAGCATCGGAAACCTGAAGTTAGATATCATTTGTTACTATTTGAATCATGAAAGGCCCCCATATTGCAAACGGAAGGCTTTTTCAGTAGTAAATAACATTAACAGAAGCTAGAATCAAACACATTGTGTTACTTGGCCAATTGTGTGGTCCACAGAAACGGTTGCCTTTAATCATTTTTTGAATAATGCATGCGCTCTTTCTTGATGATCTGATGTTTTGGTGAATATCTAGAGTAATGTAATTCTACATTTAAAAAGGTCAAATCTGATTTAGAACTTTTTCTTGATCGTTTAAACCCTTATTACCAGGTTGATTTTAATAATTTCATTTTAAGAGTAATGCCACCGAGTTTTAGTCGAGTCTGTTGCGAGTCATCACACAAGTACGGTACGGCATAAGCCTTCCTGTCACGTCACGTCACAATCTATTCACTGTGACAGTGACATTCCCTTGTCAGTGTCCATACCAATTTTGGGGACAGGCGTATTGAGTTGACATCATTACCTGATAAATGTTGGGATGAATAACAGGAAATTTTAAACTTTCTTATTATCTCATCGTGGGAGCAATCGTTTGAGTGATTGTCATTTTGTGCTCATGTTTATTCAAGAGTTCATCAGTGAGGTTAAAACATAGTCTGCCAAGCTTATTAATGTCAGAATTGAAGCTTCCGAAATCTGAAACCATCGATTTTTATCTCCTCATTGTTATTTTAGCCAACTAGTTGACTGAAGTCAGACACGTACCAGTCGATAAACTGCAGGTTGATATTATTATGCACATGGAGATTTGGCTCCAATTCAGCAGCGCTGGGCACTGTACGTTCAATAGAAGCATAAATCATGACTTGTCAAGTAATATATGAAAATTATTAATTAAAATTAAAATAGTAAGATAGCCCAAACCGGATATTTAATGTCGATAATGTAGACTCCAGATGTGTTAAGTTAACACCATAGGAGTTGAAGTTGTAGTGTACTACTGAAACCTTTACAAACGTATCCAGCAAGACTAAAACCCATTTTCACTGGCTGAGTGCTCACCGCAAGCAAGCCTGCGACTCAATTCCGCTGGCCATGGTCTTTCAACTGCTTAGTGCCGAACTAAGAAGCGGGAACTGCGGGTTGCTTGGCTGACATTTGCTCTGGTGGGCTTTTATTGGCACCAGCCTGCCAAGGGGATAACCCTAAAAATGTCGCATCGAATGGCTGAGACCTGTCCCTTCCGTATCACGTGCTCCCGCGAGTACTTCCGGTTAAGGGACATTTTTCTTAACTTCGAGATTTGGCACCGAGTCAAATTTTGCATCCCAAATTGATCTTATCCACACAAAGTTGACTCGATGTTTTTATTTCCTGACAACTTTCAGTGGACTCTCAACTACTTCCTGTAGAATTTTGCCAAACTGATTTTTTTTCTGCCTTGGGGTGAACTGATTCTCGGAGATGCCAGTTGAACAGTAAACAGACTTAACAACCAAACAAAACTGAACCACTTTTAGCTCATTTTGTGAGTACATGGTTTGATTTCAGAACATGAAGTCAAAAGACATGCTTCAAATGCACGAAGTCAGTTTCTCTTCGAGCTGAAGTGAAGGCTGATCAGTTTCAAGGGCTGTTTTTCAGGAATGTTTAATCTTTGTTTCTTTCTGTGTAATTCGTTTTCTCAAAAGGGAAGAAGAAGTTAACAACAACATGCCAGTGGGAGTGGACGAAGGTAAGAACTCTAAATTCACCTTCCAAACCCGGGTCTACATGAACGAGGGGAACTACAACAATAACAATAGCGCCACCACGAGTCCATCCCGCGTGACAGCCAAAACAGTCACCCCTCCCGTCATGATGCTGACAACCCCAGTGAGTCCCGCGGCCGCTTGCGAAGGAATCAAGGCGGAACCTGCGCCCCCAGCGACCAACGGCCCGACCAATAGCTCTACCTCCTCGCACCACGACCTGACGCCGATGACGGACTTCCCCGCGCTGGGCTTCAAGTTTCTGCACGACCTAGCCGTGATGCAGCAAGTCGTCCCGGTGGCTCTGAGCTCTGGACAATCGGAGGCGGGGACCTCGGCAGGTAATCCCTTGGGCACGATGCTCGTCAACCCGTCAACTCTTCTCGGTGCTGCCGGTGGAAGGGGCCAGTCAGCCTACCAGGTGCCGGCCCTGAGCATGGCACCCACCCTTCCTTTCACCCTCTCGCCCGCTGCTGCTGCCCAACTTCTCGAATCGGTCGCGACCGGCTACAGCAACGCCAGCAGCGCAACCCCATGCACATACAACAGCAGTAGGTCACCAGCAGAGGGGTCCAGCGCCAGTACGGCGACTATTGACAGCGTTAGTGCTGATATCGAAGTCGATGAGAACGCCACTCGGCAGCAGGTGCAACCGCAAAGAGTAGTCGAGTCACCCATGACTATCATTACAACAGCGTCGGGCTAGTTTGCAGTGCTCAGAGCGACCTCCCCTTTGGTCCTTGGACGAAAAATGAACTTCCGCAGTTGCGTAAAGAAAAAAGTCATACAGACGTAAATGCGGTTTCAGGCTTTGCATGGCTTTACTGTTCAGGCCACAGGGATCTGTCAGTACACTATGTTAAGCGACTAACTCCTTCACGAGACCACTGGAGCTTCTCAGAACCATTCTTTTCTTTTAGGAATTCGCCACTTTGTACATGTATTACACTTGCCAAAACCTCTCTCATTAAGTCATAACAATAATACTGTGGACTGAAAATCACAGCAAACATACATAAGACTCTACTATGAATTTAATCAAGCTCCTGGTGAGTCTTGGGAAAGTGTGACCTGCAGATGTTGCAAACATTCCGCCAGTTCGTACGCAAACCATGTCCAAGCCTCCAGTTTAATAAGGAACATAAAAATTGACTCTGCGACTGCGCCGAGCGTGTCTTGGAAAACCTACCGTACATGCATGAATAGGGTTTGTGCAAGTTAGGGATTCTATGTTGCTCACTAGCTAACTCGGAAATTCGACCAAGTATGGAATTGGCACCGTCAGCATTACCGTAATTTCACATTTTGAAGGCTTGAAGAAAAGAGAGGGCACTGGGGCGTTCACCCTCCTTGGAAAAGAGAAATTTTTCCCGCCCTTCACTTTTGGATCCAGTCATTTCATGTATAATGACGCGCGTATACACCTGTACATGTACATGTACATGTACATGTACGCCTACGTGTGCACACGTACCGTGCATAACAACGTCTGTAATTTTGATGTCCACCCCTCTGACCTCGCCTCAGTTGCTTTTCCAGAACTTTTTTCTGATAAGGAAAAATGGGATAATAATGCCAAGAAAAAGGTTTTTAAAGACAATTTCCCCCCTAATTGCCTGCCTGAACTTCAGTACATGCCTCCTTTTCACGCATACAGCAACACAAAGAACTCTTTTTAGAAGGTAACAACTGGTATTTCGAAAACATAGGGCCTACCTTCGGGTGTCTAGAATTGATGAATTGTCGTTAATATCCGACGATGTCGTTTTGCAGTGTTCTGTTCCGTTCCCTTACTTTTGGTGACTTTTTATATTGTACATAGTGTACTTTTGCCCTTGTAATTTATGTTAATAGCATATGTAGAAATTAGACAGGAAAGCTACGCAGAAGCATTTTTTCGCATAAACATTTGACTATATTGCATCTTCGTATTTATTTCATTTCATTGCATCATTATGTAGATTTTATTCTGTAGATTTTATTTTGGTCTGTAGCGCTCCGTGATCTTCGTATCTAGTCTACCAAAGCAATAATGCTTGTAATAATTTCTGTTGTCACAGGTAATATTCTTCTTTCCCGTGTACATGTACATGTATGTAAATTCTGCTGAGTTTGGTCTATCTGGTCGGACCATTTGCAATTTTGACATCATCTGTGAATAACGACTGAGCTTAAATAACATTGTCGAGAAGTATAACATTGGTGTATTGATCATAGAGAGTCCTGAAAATTGTTTTGTTTGTTTTTGTTTTGGTTTTGGTTTTGGGTTTTTTTTGTTTTGTTTTGTTTGGTTTTTTTTTTTTTTGTCGTCTGGGTTTTTTTTTTCGGTGTTTGTTGGTTGGTTGGTATGTTGAGGTGTTTGTTCGCTTGTTGGGGTGTTTGTTTGCTTGTTTTGGTGTTTCTGAAAGTCGACCACCCACCTTCCCAAACGGGAAACTCTGATCGGGAATCCTCTGTTGATCCGGTTGTTTGTAGCTATTCACTATGTCGTGGCTTGTTTTGACGCTGAGTGCTGTGATACCTGGTCCCATCAATACAGATTCAGGAAATAATTAATGGGGTTTATTTCTCACAGTTTTTGAATACGTTTTCTTGCTTCTCAATACCAACGGCCAGTTGCCCATTTTCTTTCAAGGAAGCATTAAACGCATAGTAAATCTGTTTGGTGTAGGTGTGTATAAACTAAATTTCCTGGTCGAGATCTGTGAGCAGTGACTTTCGCTGAAGGTTAAAAGGACCCGCAGAACCGACAGACATGCAGACGAGCATGTCTAAATTGGGATCTTTGTGAGCCTTAAAAATATGGCAAGGTAACGGAGTCACCATGATGTACTTCTATTCAGAAATAAATAGTATTACTAAAGACTACAAAGGGCCTTTTCTGGTTACTCGACGAAAGAGAGAAAACGCAGGACAATGTCCTGTTCATTTCATATAACACACGGGCAGTCACTTCAAAAGAAAAATGCCGCACGTCATGTTTCGATGCCCGCAAAAGCGTGGTATAAACGTAAACATGTCATGGGACATTTCTAGTTATTATGCACTGACGTTGGCATTACCAGCGACAAAAGACGAGGGACTTGTTACTGCCGCAATCAGCGGGAGAGAGCAGGCCGTGGATGAGCTGGTTTCCTTCAGGCCGGATCCGCTCTGATACATTGTGATGGCTCTGGGTCCTCCCATCTCGCTGATTGTTAGCCGAGTCCTTATCCCAGCTCTTTGAGACGCTGCCCCGGGCCGGGATTACCAGCACGACGGGCAGCCGTTTTTTGGCGGCGAGTGTCTTTGGGGCGCGTTGATTGGTGACGGTATACGTATGCCTGAACTGCGCGGTCATTCCCATCTCATTTTTTAACATTTCGAAAAGCATCGAGTTGTTCGAGGCGAACGGGGTTCATGCGAATTTCACAACGACCATTAAAGGAAAATCGTCTTCAAGTTCGTTTTCCTTTCTATAACTCAAATTTTGTTGCTGGTCCCTTTTCAGTTTGTGGTGTAAAATATCCACAGCGCCATCTTGGGAAATGTCCTCCGTATGATTTTTTTCAACTAAAGGGCGTAAACCTTTCAGCAAGGGGTAATTTATACAGACTGCTCTCCAAGGAACATAGTTTTCCCGTGCGATTGACGTGTTCACAACCTGGTGTTACAAAATCTCATTTGCGTTATAAGCATGTCTACTGATACACCAAGGCCGCCAACTGGATCTCGCTTAGCCCACCACGACCCCCCCCCGCTTCGTAAGTGAAAGTGTAAACTGTTTTGTGAGGTTTATCCAATCACGGTATTCAGGAGCGGATCTAGGATTTTTCCTAGGGATGGAGGTGTTTGTGCAAGGGAAGTTACTACAGGTAGTTGTAATCGTTAGTGAAGCCATTTCATCTCTTTAAAAGAGTGTTTTTTGTGTTCTGAAAATTAATGAGAGAAATTTTAGAAACTATTTCAATATACTTTGGACTAAAAGAAACCTCCACAATGTTGCCCCATCCTTTAAAAAAGGCCAGAAAAGGTTACATGAAAAATTCAAAATGCTTTGCCCCCGAACAATTCTAAGCCTGTACGATTAGCCACCAAATGCCAAAAGATATGGTATAGTCACGACCATCAATTGCGAGATACTCCAAGAAGAAACCAGGTAGGGACTGAAAACCCAATCCGCATGTCGGCTGGGATGGGATTCGAACCTGAGACATGACCGAGGCGGAAGGCGAGGAAAGCAGCACCATGCCAACCACAGTAACCCATCCCCCACCCCGTTGGCCCCCTACGTATTATCTTTAACCACTATCTTCGTTCTGCCTCCAGGTGTATCCTTTCCATGTGAGGGTCGGTCGAGCATACAGTTGCGTCGGCCTCAACGCTCGCAAGAAACTAGGGGAATGACCTGATTGATTCCGGATCACCCCATCGGGTGTGATTCCCTGAATCAACTCGCAGGAAATGCCCCAGAAAAACTTCCGTCGTGCGGGAGTCAACGGTCGGTACACTAGTCGTTGGGGCATGACCAGCTCAGCCTGATGATACGACTTCCACACAAAAATTGTTAACAGCTTTCTAAAACCCCAGAAGGGATGAAGGGTAATCAACTTCTTTTGATGCATTTGTTCCCCCCCCCCCGAGTTAAGATAACTAATGAAAACACTGTCGCTACAGAAAGTGTAAGAGGAGGTAGGTGAGCCTTTAGTGTCTGCAATAGCAACCGTCGGCTATTACCAGGTGTATCACCAGGTGTATTACCAGGGGTATCACCAGGTGTACCGCCCCATACTTCCCCTGTTAAAGTGTAGCTGCAATGAATTTTTATTTTGCACCGTTTTTCTGCATCTTTGTACTCTTCTTCGTTGCATGCAAACTCTTACAAACTCCTATTTGGTTAAATGCACTGAAATGTGCATGTTTTTAAACAATTCAAATTATCCATGCAACTGAGGGCGCTGTTGCTGTGAAATCGTCCGGAGAAGACATGGTTCAGTGCATGGGTGTTTCTGTTGAAATTGTGAACCCAGAATTTACCTACTGGAAACGTTTCTGAGAGAGGGGTTGATGTTTTCTTGTTGCTACGCGCATGAACAACAAAGAATCAGCAAAGAAGAGAAAACTGAGGCCAGGAAAATCTACAAACGTGCAGGACTGTTTGTGTTCAAACCAATGTAACATTGAGGCTTCTT